AAAGGAGACAAGGATGGAACCAGCAGAGGTCAATCAGAGCAGGACAGAGCAGCAAGGGCAAGCCCACACACAACTATCCTCAGGACCCCACAACCTATCACACCATCCCAACACAAACTACAATCCATACTCACAGCTTCCACCCAACACACAGCTATAGAATCCCACAGTATGCACCCAGATCTCCCATCTTCACAGGCCCCCCAAACCACAGTGTTGGAAAGGAAACTGAAGGTATGGTACACAAACACTGATGAAATAACAAATAAGTGGGAGGAGTGGCACGAAAGAGTCAAAGAAGCATCACTGGACATCATAGCTCTCACAGAAACCAAGCTTACATGTATGATAACAGATGCCATCTTTCCAGTGGGATACCAGATCCTGAGGAAAGACAGAGGTAACAGGGGATGGTGGAGGAGTGGCACTGCTGATCAAAAACGGATGGAATTTTGATGAGCTGGAGAGAGGAGACAGCAGAGAAACAAGTGACTACATAGCGGGAACGCTTCACTCTGGAGGTCCCAAGGTGGTAATGGCAGTGATGTATAACCCACCACAGAACAGCAGGAAGCCAAGACAAGAGTATGACGAGAGCAATAGAGCGATGGTTGACACACTGGCTGCAGTGGGAAGAAGATTGGGAGAACTTGGAGCCACATGGGGGCCAAGATACATGGAGGGCTAAGATGATGGAGGTGGTACTGGAAAGCTTTATGTACCAACACGTAAGGGACACTACAAGAGAGAGAGGAGAGGATGAACCAGCAAGACTGGACCTAGTATTCACCTTGAGTAGTGCAGATATTGAGGACATCACATATGAAAGACCCCTTGGGGCCAGCAATCATGTGGTTTTAACTTTCGAATACACAGTAGAGCTACAAGTGGAGGGGAAAGCAGGAAGGCCAGGACGAATGAAGCCAAACTACAAGAAAGGGGACTACACAGGAATGAGGAACTTCCTGAACGGGGTTCAATGGGACAGAGAACTGGCAGGGAAGCCAGTTAATGAGATGATGGAATATGTAGCAACAATGTGCAAGGAGGCTGAGGAGAGGTTCATACCCACAGGTAACAGGAATAATGAAAAAGCCAGAATGAGCCCATGGTTCACCCAAAGGTGCAGGGAGGCAAAAACCAAGTGTGCTAGGGAATGGAAGAAATACAGAAGGCAAAGGACCCAGGAGAATAAGGAGAGCAGTCGAAGAGCCAGAAATGAATATGCACAGATAAGAAGGGAGGCCCAACAACAATATGTAAACGACAAAGCAGCGAAAGCCAAATCTGACCCGAAGCTGTTATACAGCCACATCAGGAGGAAAACAACAGTCAAGGACCAGGTAATCAGGCTAAGGAAGGAAGGAAGGAAGGAAGGAGGAGAGACAACAAGAAATGACTGTGAAGTATATGAGGAACTCAACAAGAGATTCAAAGAAGTGTTCACAAAGGAGACAGAAGGCGCTCCAGAAAGATGGAGAGGTGGGGCACACCACCAAGTGTTGGACACAGTACACACAACCGAGGAAGAAGTGAAGAGGCTTCTAAGTGAGCTAGATACCTCAAAGGCAATGGGGCGGGATAACATCTTTCCATGGGTCCTGAGAGAGGGAGCAGAGGCGCTATGTGTACCCCTAACAACAATATTCAATACATCTATCGAAACAGGGAGATTGCCTGAGGCATGGAAGACAGGAACTGTAGTCCCAATCTTTAAAAAAGGAGACAGACATGAAGCACTAAACTATAGACCAGTGTCACTGACATGTATAGTATGCAAAGTCATGGAGAAGATTATCAGGAGAAGAGTGGTGGAACACCTAGAAAGGAATGATCTCATCAACAGCAGTCAACATGGTTTCAGGGACGGGAAATCCTGTCACAAACCTACTGGAGTTCTATGACATGGTGACAGCAGTAAGACAAGAGAGAGAGGGGTGGGTGGATTGCATTTTCTTGGACTGCAAGAAGGCGTTTGACACAGTTTCACACAAGAGATTAGTGCAAAAACTGGAGGACCAAGCAGGGATAAGAGGGAAGGCACTACAATAGATCGGGGAATACTTGTCAGGAAGACTGCAGCGAGTCATGGTACGTGGCGAGGTGTCAGAGTGGGCACCTGTGACCAGCGGGGTCTCACAGGGTTCAGTCCTAGGACCAGTGCTATTTCTGGTATTTGTGAACGACATGACGGAAGGAATAAACTCAGAGGTGTCCCTGTTTGCAGATGACGTGAAGTTGAAGAGAAGAATTCATTCGATCGAAGACCAGGCAGAACTACAAAGGGATCTGGACAGCTGCAGACCTGGTCCAGCAATTGGCTTCTGGAGTTCAACCCCACCAAGTGCAAAGTCATGAAGATTGGGGAAGGGCAAAGAAGACCGCAGACGGAGTACAGTCTAGGGGGCCAGAGACTACAAACCTCTCTCAAGGAAAAAGATCTTGGGGTGAGTATAACACCAGGCACATCTCCTGAAGCGCACATAAACCAAATAACTGCTGCAGCATAATGGCGCCTAGCAAACCTCAGAACAGCATTCCGACATCTTAATAAGGAATCGTTCAGGACCCTGTACACCTTGTACGTTAGGCCCATATTGGAGTATGCGGCACCAGTTTGGAACCCACACCTAGGTTTGCAACAAGACTAGTCCCAGAGCTAAGAGGTATGTCCTACGAGGAGAGGTTAAGGGAAATCAACCTGACGACACTGGAGGACAGGAGAGATAGGGGGGGGACATGATAACGACATACAAAATACTGAGAGGAATTGACAAGGTGGACAAAGACAGGATGTTCCAGAGATGGGACACAGCAACAAGGGGACACAGTTGGAAGCTGAAGACACAGATGAATCACAGGGATGTTAGGAAGTATTTCTTCAGCCACAGAGTATTCACAAAGTGGAATAGTTTGGGAAGTGATGTAGTGGAGGCAGGATCCATACATAGCTTTAAGCAGAGGTATGATAAAGCTCACTGTTCAGGGAGAGTGACCTAGTAGCGACCAGTGAAGAGGCGGGGCCAGGAGCTGGGACTCGACCCCTGCAACCTCAACTAGGTGAGTACAACTAGGTAAGTACACATGGGAGAGTGTGGACCTAGTAGCGACCAACGAAAAGGCGGGGCCAGGAGCTGTGAATCGACACGTGCAATCACATAGAGGTGTATACACACACACGCACGTACTCGCACAAACACTCACGCACGTACTCGCACAAACACGCATGCACGTACTCGCACAAACACGCACGCACGTACTCGCACGAACACGCAAGCACGTACTCGCACGAACACGCACGCACGTACTCGCACGAACACGCACGCACGTACTCGCACGAACACGCACGCACGTACTCGCACAAACACGCACGCACGTACTCGCACGAACACGCAAGCACGTACTCAAAAACAAACTGTCAACTTAAGTATAAAGACGAAAACTTGACCATAACAATAACAAAACTAATAGTTTTATGTGTAGTTAATAAATTAAACATTGGTATTAGTTATGATTTTCGCCGCTTCATACCATACAAACCATTTCTGGCGGGTAGGAAACCTTTCGTTTTTTTAGTCAGTATATAACGTATATAAGGTATTTAAATTATATTAATGTATGGTTGGTTGTCTGAATGTGTCAGGTTAGTGTTCGTTCAAGTTCTTATCCCATATACTTTATTAAAGTTCTTAAACCATATACCTCACTGTCGTTTAGAATCTGAATCAAAACATTGTTGGTTTAAATGTTTAATCTGCATATTTCACTTTTTCGTTTTGGTTCTTAATGTTTAACTTCACTGTCATTCAGAATCTGAAAATATCCGAAAATATCATTAAAATGTTTATTTGAATACCTTTCATTAATTTAATTTTATGTTAACAACAGCTGCCTTGATATTGTTCCATGGAGAGGACTGTGCTTGGGTCATAACACCACCTGTGGCTCCATAGACTCTGCCACTCCCTACGGGTCCCGTGGAGCGGGTGTGGCAGACCAGAGGCCTGGGCTTCTCCCTACGAGCCCCGTGAAAGCGGGGAGTGGGGCTAGGCATTTTATGGACAACAGTCCCTGAAGACGAAGAGGTACAATGTACCTCTTCTGATGGGAAGACATTTTGGATGTTAACAATGTTCCCCCGATGGGAAGCCAAGGTCAAGTCACCAACTGGTAGAGACCCGGGCAGCTATATGCTGCTAATCTCTAACATGTGGATGGGAAGTTACACATTAAACAACACTGTTGTTAGAAACTTTCGACTGCTTTGTATTGAGCTAATCGGAAGTAGAATGATGCAATGGGATGGGAGGAGGGGATTGAGGTGAAGAGGAAGAGGCGGAGGAAAGGAAGTGGAGAAAGAGAGAGGGGAAGCAAGAGGGAAATACAGGCGGAGCGAGGGGACAGGGTGAATATTGGTAATTACGTGTAATCCAGTTGGATCAAGAGCCAATCGGGAGAGAGAGGAACGGAGAGCTCCAGGGAGAGGGAGAGCAAAGAGACGGACAGAAGGGAACGGACAATCAGCTGAAAGAATTAAATACTCCTTTATGAGCGTTCAAGCTACAGATTAATACCACTGAAATTCCTCACGAGGGGACAGTGCAATTTGATCTATGAAACTGATAAATACAAATTGATTAGTTGGTTAATGAGGTTTTCAGCCTGTTGACTACACAGGAGTCATTAATTACGGCTGTATGTAAGCTGTTCATCACTAGTAATGATAATAATAATAATAATAATAATAATAATAATAATAATAATAATAATAATAATAATGAGAATAATAAGAATCTTTATTTCTACAAGTACATGTACAAGATATACAGGTCTAGCTGACATCAATGACATGTACCTTTTCTGACTAATAACCTGTAGAGAACGATAAGCTAGTGAGAATGAGGATCCGGTGAGAACGATGACCTGGTGAAGGTGATGGCATGCGGAGAACGATGACGTGGGTAGGACAAGCTTGAGAGGGTGTTGAATTATCGACTTACCAAGAACGATCCTTATAACGACGGTGTTGCCGACACAAGCCCCGAGGATCATCATACCGAAGGCGATAACCCACAACACTTGCTGGAACACTGGCATCTGGAAGGGCGGCTCGCTAGACTCTTCACTTGACTCACCTGGAGGCAAGCACAGACGACACCATCAGATGGAGCACATGGGAGTTCATAAGAGACCACAGAAGTGAGAGTATATTAGTGACACAGAGAGGATAAAAGAAACAGAGATTTTAAGTGGCCATATTATAGATATTTTTGTTAGGAAGTATACATGGTAAATCTAAGCAATAAAATATTCAATAAACTATTCAATAAAACATTCAATAAAATTTCAGTGTAATATTCATGAAGTTTTAAACCACAATCGTAAGAGTAATTCCCAAGTAGACAATGGTAATTATAAACCCATATCTAAGCAAGCATTTAAAAGAGTTGGAGAAAGTTCTATCGATTTGCCACTACTGATCCCGTACCGATCACGAAAGCTGAAAAAAATAGGCTTAAGCGTTTAAACTAAAGGAGAATGAAAAAGCAAGATTAGACCTCGTACTCATGTTGGCAAAATAGTTAATGAGAGGCTACTGGGTGTTGACTCTCCTGGGGTGAGTTTTGAATATTTTGCGGAAGAAAACATGGAGTAACATAGCAGATGGACCAGAGTAGCACAGCAGGTGGACCAGAGTAGCACAGCAGGTGGACCAGAGTTGTACAGCAGGTGGACCAGAGTTGTACAGCAGGTGGACCAGAGTTGTACAGCAGGTGGACCAGAGTAGCACAGCAGGTGGACCAAAGTAGCACAGCAGGTGGACCAGAGTAGCACAGCAGGTGGACCAGAGTAGCACAGCAGGTGGACCAGAGTTGTACAACAGGTGGACCAGAGTAGCACAGCAGGTGGACCAGAGTAGCACAGCAGGTGGACCAGAGTTGCACATCAGGTGGATCAGAGTTGTACAGCAGGTGGACCAGAGTAGCACAGCAGGTGGACAAGAGTTATACAGCAGGTGGACCAGAGTTGTACAGCAGGTGGACCAAAGTTGTACAGCAGGTGGACCAGAGTAGCACGGCAGGTGGACCAGAGTTGTACAGCAGGTGGACCAGAGTAGCACAGCAGGTGGACCAGAGTTGTACAACAGGTGTACCAGAGTAGCACAGCAGGTGGACCAGAGTTGTACAGCAGGTGGACCAGAGTAGCACAGCAGGTGGACCAGAGTTGTACAGCAGGTGGACCAGAGTAGCACAGCAGGTGGACCAGAGTTTCACAGCAGGTGGACCAGAGTTGCACAGCAGGTGGACCAAAGTAGCACAGCAGGTGGACCAGAGTAGCACAGCAGGTGGACCAGAGTAGCACAGCAGGTGGACCAGAGTAGCACAGCAGGTAGACCAGAGTTGTACAGCAGATGGACCAGAGTAGCACAGCAGGTGGACCAAAGTAGCATAGCAGGTGGACCAGAGTAGCACAGCGGGTGGACCAGAGTAGCACAGCAGGTGGACCAGAGTAGCATAGCAGGTGGACCAGAGTAGCATAGCAAGTGGACCAGAGTAGCACAGCAGGTGGACCAGAGTAGCATAGCAGGTGGACCAGAGTAGCACAGCAGGTGGACCAGAGTAGCATAGCAGGTGGACCAGAGTAGCACAGCAGGTGGACCAGAGTAGCACAGCAGGTGGACCAGAGTAGCACAGCAGGTGGACCAGAGTAGCACAGAAGGTGGACCAGAGTAGCATAGCATGTGGACCAGAGCAGCACAGCAGGTGGACCAGAGTAGCACAGCAGGTGGACCAGAGTAGCACAGCAGGTGGACCAGAGTAGCACAGCAGGTGGACCAGAGTAGCATAGCAGGTGGACCAGAGTAGCACAGCAGGTGGACCAGAGTAGCATAGCAGGTGGACCAGAGTAGCATAGCAAGTGGACCAGAATAGCACAGCAGGTGGACCAGAGTAGCAGAGCAGGTGGACCAGAGTAGCACAGCAGGTGGACCAGAGTAGCATTGCAGGTGGACCAGAGTAGCACAGTAGGTGGACCAGAGTAGCACAGCAGGTGGACCAGAGTAGCACAGCAGGTGGACCAGAGTAGCACAGAAGGTGGACCAGAGTAGCATAGCAGGTGGACCATTTAAAGAACCAGATTTCAGAAGAGAAGGTTATGAAAGGATGCACACACAAAACTTCCAGAGAGGCACTAAGTAAAAAGGAAGGAAGAGGCAATCAAGATATATGGAAGTCATTCATGGTTATTAACACGTAAAAGTTATTGTGGCCAAGCGTTCTGCACAGTGACGAGCACGGAGAAGATCCAGAGTAGTAGCAGACATATATACAACCCGCCACCAAACAGGAGAGAATCGAGAAGAGAGTACACAGACACCAACAAGGAGAGAAAGCACGAGATCAAGACTGGTTTTCCTTAGAAAACACAAGTAAACAGACTGGGGAAACTGAGAACTGCACGGAGAACCAGACAAGTGAAGAGCAACGCTGGCATAGTGACATATATCATTAGCAGAAAATACCAATAAATATATTAAACACAATATGTGGTTTATGACATTTTACCAATAAGACGCTTTCGTCCACCAGGAACAAAATCCCCGGTGGAGGAAACGTCCACTCATTAAAATGCCATACATAGCATTTCGTGCCTTATTAACAGATATTAATGGGGTTCGTGTTTCAACACGTCATATAACCGGAGGGGGAGAGAGAGAGAGAGAGAGAGAGAGAGAGAGACGGGAGGGGGGCGTTAGGGGAATGAACCAGGAAGATTAGAACTGTTCATATCTCAAATAAGGCACTTAAAGATAAAATATTCTATCGAGAACCCTTGGGAGCCAGCGAGCACGCTGTCCGGATATTCAGTTACCTGCAGGAATCAAACGAAGAGATGAGCGCGGAAGGAGGAGGAGAGAGAGGTAAATCAGGCTACAAGAGAGAGCTCTCATGCTCTCTTGAATGAAATCTAATGAGAACTAAATGTGTTACGGTCGCCACGCGATCCGAGATAGGTATCCCCGTATTGCAGGACCCCAGACCCTTGTATCTCAAGGCACCTCATTGGGATAACGCCTAAGTTAATAATGCACTGACACATTTTCGGGGAAGATCTGAAGAGAATTAGAAGAAGCATTCACAAGCCATCATATGGAAATTAATATCCCAATTTCTTCAATAAAAGTAACAAATTAAGACATACACAGCCCAAGTCTAATTCAAATATTCCACCAAGAAACAGCATTAAACTTAAACTGAAGAGGCATTCCACTCTTATCTCTTATATCCTAAAATACGCCAGCACATTAAGCTTTAAACAGCTCACAAGTTGCATTATCAAGTTATTACTGTTGCCGGGATGAAGGTAATAGGTTACGACCCTCAGAAACTATCGTGAGAAATGGTATTTAAAAAATTTTATAATTTCTACACATAAAAGTAAATAATGACCTACACTAGCATGAATCAATCCTTTGCCTAAATTAAGTAAAATGAGTAAGAAAATAAGCATGTAATGAAGACACTAGAGCACTCCAGGATGATTTGATTAGACTGACACAATGGTCGGAGAAGTGGCAGATGCAGTTTAATATTGACAGATGCAAAGTTCTAAATGTTGGACAGTTAAATAACCATGCCACATACAAACTAAATAATGTAGATCTTAATACTACCGATTGCGAAAAGGATTTAGGAGTTCTGGTTAGCAGTAACCTAAAACCAAGACAACAGTGAGTAGTACCCAAAGCGGCTGAGCGCCGTATCAAAGGATGCCGCCTTTTCACACCTAGGTGTTACTTCCGGTCTAGGGTTTCTTCTGTACCTCATATCAAAGGGTGCCACCTTTTCACACCTTTATGCTAATGACCTTGACCTCACCCTCGACCACCTCGCCCTCAACCCCCCACCACGCCCTCAACCCCCCACCTGCGCCCCTCGCACCTCCACACGCGCTGCGCCCTCGCGCCCGCCCGACTGGGGTCCTACCCGCGCCGACCCGCGCCCGCCCGCGCCCTCGCCCGCGCCTTCTGCAGCGCCTTCTGCAGCGTCGTCCGGATCGCCCCCGCTCCCCGAATTTTTTTCCAATTTTTTTCGAATTTTTTTTTAATTTCTTGTGCTCTCCAATTCCTCGGATCAACACCCTCCCCCACACCTCCCACCATCCACTTCTACCCTCTATGTCCAAGTATTTCTGCTCCATCTCCTCGGATCAAGTTTTTCTCGATATCAATAATACAAAGACTCCATCTCCTTGGATCAAGTTTTTTATGGATTCTCCCTATGGGGTTTTGATTTTCTTGTGCTCTCCATCTCCTTGGATCAAATTTTTTGGGTTTCCCCCTATGGGTACCCCTCCCACCACCCACTTCTACCCCAAATATTCCTGCTCTACTTCCTTGGATCAAGTTTTTCTCGATATCAATAATACAAAGACTCCAATTCCTCGAATCAAGTTTTTTGGATTCCCCCATAAGGGGTTTCGAATTTTTTTTTGAATTTCATTTTCTTGTTGTCTCCATCTCCACAGATCAACTTTTTCTCGATATCAATAATACAAAGACTCCATCTCCTCGAATTAAGTTTTTGAGGTTTCCCTAAGTAAGTAAGTAAGTAAGTAAGTAAATTTATTCAGGTATACACAATACAGTTACATAGAATTATCATACATAGCAGCATATGTGTAGAGAACCTAGGATAACCCAAAAAAGTCAGACAGAGTGACTTATTTCCATTGGGGTCCTTTTACCTTATTATTATAATATAAAGGTTATAATATTTTCTTATTATTCTATAATGAAGATAACATCTTATTATCATACTAAAAAGACTATCTACTACACGAGGGTCATTAAGACTATCTACAATACGAGGGTCATTAAGACTATCTACTACCCGAGGGTCATTACGACTATCTACAATACGATACCATCCACAATACAATACCATCCACTTCTACCCCAAATATTCCTGCTCTACTTCCTTGGATCAAGTTTTTCTCAATAACAATAATACAAAGACTCTATCTCCTCGGATCAAGTTTTTGGATTCCCCCCTCTGGGGGTAAGCATTCAAAATACACTCCCACTTGCATCCCAAATTCCCTGCTCCAATTCCTCGGATCAACACCCTCCCACCATCCACTTCTACCCTCTATGTCCAAGTATTTCTCCTCCATCTCCTTGGATCAAGTTTTTCTCGATATCATTAATACAAAGACTCCATCTCCTTGGATCAAGTTTTTTGGATTCTCCCCTCTGGGGGTAAGCATTCAAATGAACTCCCCCTATGGGGCATGGTATTTTCTCTTACTACAGGTCTAAACAAGTGTGACGTCACCCCACATGAGTTTACTCCGTGGTCAGTGACGTCACATGTTGACCTCACACAGACGAACAGGCTGAATCTTGTCGACCAAATGGACTCCCCCTATGTCAGTGACGTCACGTGATGACCTCACACAGACGAACAGGCTGAATCTTGTCGATCAAACATTAACTTAAAATGAAGGATAACACTAATACACAATATTTTCATTTATTTATTTATTTATTATACAACCAATGCATTT